TGCATGTATGCATTTTTTTTCGCAGATTGCCCTATAGCATAATTATTTTCTAATGGAACTAGGTAAGTGTCTGCTGAACTTGAAATCGATTTCTGAAAGCCATGGGACAAGAATACTTGCAGTGACACCCAGTGTCATGAATAGATCTGCTTAGCTCTGCAACACCTAATTATCTCACCCACATTTAGACAGACTGTAAGGTTTGCAATCTAGCTCGATAGGCTCAGCTAGCAAAGCCATGAGTAAGTCTCTAATACACTATTTTCTTTCTAAAATGATGAGTCTAAATTGCAGGAAGTCTTAGACTAAAGCCTTCTTCTTCCAGAAGTGCTGTTAGAAGTGAAGTGACAAACACATGTATTATTAAACATACCATAAAACCATTATTTCTACTTAAACAGAAAAAAGGTCAACACATTATGGCAAACGCATGTTCTTTAACTATCAACTACTATATACTGTACACCTAGCTACAGACTTGCTACAGGATATTCTGAACATTTGATTAGTATCCTGGGTCTCTGTATTGATTGGCGTGGGGTTGAAATGGGCTGCTTTGTTCAGTCTTAGCAGCTATGACCTTTATGAGGTTTTTTAGCTCACTCTGGCTCACCGTGCCTTTGTTAGGCCTACAAAAGCTGCTCCCTCAAACAACTGGTAAGCAATGGTTATATGTCTCAAGAAAGCCATCCATATGGAAGTGCTTGGTAGAGAATTCTGGATGAACAAACTTCTTCCATATACATGAGAAGTTAAATTTTAGAAATTGCTCAGCTGATGATCTTTTTCTCCAGAATAAGATTCCTGTTTGAAGTGAGATGAGTAGTATTCCAGTTTCTGTGCATTGATAGGAGGCCATACCGACAGCTGCAGCTGTAGGGAGGAGAACGGCACACTATGGGTAGCAGGAAGGTGAAGCAGGGTTTCAGGATACCTCCTCTGAATCAACCCATCTCTTATGGCTCAAAGTGCTGGAGTTTGTCTGGAGTTTGTCTGGAGATAGTGTGATATTTTCCTGGTCTAAGTTTGTCTTTTCTCCATTATATGAAGCCTCAAGTGTTCTTGATTTTGACTTTGTTGGACCTCATTTCCACAGGGACTCAGTCTTCTCAATCTCAGATATCCCATTTTTTACCGGCTTCTAAATTCCACCTCTTTTTGTAGCAACTGGTACTTTCTAGAGATCTAGCAACATAAGAGTTTCCGTTTACACACACACAAATACTGTTCTGTAGGTCATCAAGGTACAGGTTAATACTCTGTTCTGTGTTTGACCATCAAAGTTTGAGCTTTTTGAAATCAGCAAGTTTCTTCTTTTAACTAGTCCTTTCTCAAAACGATAAAAGGGAAGCTCCAGAGAAACTGAAGAAGGGAAATAGATGCAAAAAGCAAAGAAAATTATCTTTAGCAAAGAAGGGTTGCATTGAATACAAGGTTGGTATTATCAAAGATAATGTGAACCATAGGAAAATTCAGAAGGAAAATTATGTTGGCCAAACGCTGGTAAACCTCAGCAGTAGTGAAAGTAACCCAGATAAATCTATTATCTATCTGAGGCTGTTGGAAAGCAGGGCCAAGCTAAATTGTGTTTCCACCCTCTGAAAGCCAAAAAGCAAAGGAGCTTTGTGGCATACTACTGGTGCTGGTTACCTGTGCAGCTTGTAGAAGTGAGGTGTTCTAGAGCCAGTAGTCAGGAAGACTACCTGCAGGGTCCTTTGTGATGCAGCAGAAACCTGCTTAAGTACCAAAGTCACTACAGAAATGCAGTTATAACTTCCCTATCCAACCAGCCATCAACATCTATAACATCAACACCTTATCCCTATTCTCTTAAAATCCTTTCTTATTATGAAGCTGTCAGTCCCATTCTGCAGTTTTTCCTCTATTTCTCCTTAAACCTGCACCTTCCCAGGTTTTAAAGTACTTCTAAGTTCCTGCCTTCCTACTTTGTCTCAAAAGTCTGCAAGAGAAAATATATATTCAAGACTTTTTATGTTAATCATCTTACAGATATTTGTAGGAGCCTCAAGCATTGAGAATTTCTTGATAGATTAAGTAATAATGAGAGAATGAGAACAATGTATTTTATTTCCAGGAGCTGGGAGACAATCTTTGAGGGGAAAACATAGAAGGTGTAATATTTTGCAATGGTTCATTTACAAGGAGCTGTAAATAGCTCTCTAATGGGGTAGAATGTTTCAAAGTGGTAAAAATGCTTGAGTTGGATTCCACAGTCAGAATTTCCCTTTATTAAATAAACAGGTGTAGTCAGGGTTTTGTTTTGCTGCCACTAAATAATATAGACAAAATTTTTCCCTTCTAAACTAGATGTGTGGAAGTTGAAGGACTACTATGCGAATATAAAGTATTAAGCTTTGTTGCAGGGATGAGGCCAGTTGAAAGGAATAGTAAAATATAAGGCTGTTCACAGAGAGTGATCAAGCAAACCACTGTTATAAAGAAAAAGCATCCTTACTCAAGACCAAAAAGCCAGACAGCGCTTGTCCAGAGGCACCAACAACTCTCACTGCAAACTTCACCTCCTCAAACTCAGAACCCCTCACCCTGGTTCTTTAGAGAAGGAGTGACTTCATTCAGCAACGTCATAAATGCAAACAAAATACCTGATGCATCTCTCAGAACCACATCTGCAATGCATTTGGAATAACAAAACATGTAAAAAGACTTGCTTAGGAATAAGGTTGATTTGTGTTTGTTCATATATTTGGTGACAGAACTTTTTGAGGAGGTTAATGTTTGTTTGTCACTTATTTCAGGGCAAATGGTGGCATCAGCTGTTTGAACTGTTCCTTCATGTAAGTCTTGCTGTTTTATAAACTTTTAAAGAATTATGTATTACTCGGTAATAGAAGTTTAAGTGAATAGAGTCCATGATTTTCACAAAGATGTTTATTTTGATGTGGTGGCTACTGATACTTGCAGGGGAAAGATAATCTTTCAGTTAATGCTCTGAAGAGAAAATCTGGATTCAATGTTATGTCCACCACAGGCTAACTCGTTTTAGGCCGGTCACTTAAGGCTACAACTACATTGTGGCATATGGGAGCTTTGGTCCAGATGCATGCTCTAGGCAAAGCCTATTTCTCTGTCAGTGTGAGACTTTGTTACATCCACCTGTCCCTCTTATGCCTATTTCAAAAGAAAAGAAACGTAGGCGTTGCAGCCTAGCTACTGCACAACGTTAGGCTCATGAAGAGAGCTGGGAAATGAAGGCTCAGGCTTGCTGCGTGTACCTATGGGCTCTGGGTGTCATGGTTTCTCCAGCTTCCCAGGCTGGTAAAAATAAGTCTTTTACAATGTTGCATATTCCATTTAGGTGAGACCATTCCTGTGCTGATAAAATTTCTCTGCAAGAACTGGCTGCTGATCCTTTGTGGTGCAGTGATTTCAGGCAGTTGTAGTTTCAGTCTCAGCTCCCTGCTCCAGACACGGTTCCAGCTGAATTGGTGCTGCCTGTTCTCTGTCATTTTTATTTTCCCCTCAGTCCTTTAGGGTACAGTACAGTACACATCAACAGGAGGAAGACAGCAGCATGTGTGGGATGTGTGCAGGAGTCATCTGGCATCTCTCCCTTCACTTGTCCACTTCTCCTTTGCCTAGTGTTTTTGTTTGCTCATTCAAAGATGTTTAAATGGAGGTGATGTTAATGAAAACTGAGGTTGCTGGACCAAATTCAGACAGTGACGTCAGTCACGTCCAATAGGAAAGTTGACTGTGTAGTCTTTTTCTTCCAGATATGCAACAGCAGACTTGGTGCTACCTCCTCCTTTTGTACTTGTACAGGGGATACAAAGACTCTGAAGCTAAAACTTTCAGAAATGTTTGTGTGGTGCTAGAACTAAAGCAGGGGCAGAGATCCAAAACACTGTTTTATCTTACCTTAAATGCAACCTAGTGAAGAACTATGGAAACATATGACCAGGCCCTCCATGGCTTTTTTCCCTAAAACTGAATGAGTCTGTGCAGCAGTGGGGTTAAGCACTGCATTGCCAGCATTAGCATCTGTGGAGTCTTAGCTGGTCTGAATACGATGCTCATAGGAAAAAGTGTCACTAAGAAACTGTTATGAACATGGTGAATTAACTTGTTTCTCATAAAGTGATGGATAAAGTTTTACCGATGTGAGAATCTTCTAAATGAGGCAGTTTCTATAACTTTGAACTACATATATAGTAGCACATATAGTTCACAGTTCTAGAACTATATGTATCTATATTGAAAGGATTTGGAGAAAATCTTGTCTTTTCCCTGCCTTGCATATGAGCTGGGACCTTGGTGGTCCTTGCATTATCTTACTTCTCTCTTTGCCAGCAGATGCCAGTTTTTCTCCAGACAGGTCACTTCTTTTCTTCAGGACTTTTTGTCCTGAAGGAAAAGTGGAATTTGAAGATTTCATTGTGTTTCTTGTGTCTGGGTGACAGGTGCAATCAAGGTATTGTGTTTTTGAAAAACCTGGATATGACCATATGGGACCAGTAGGAATGATTGTGCACGTATGTTCAGCATTAACTAACTTGCTGTTGTTTATGTTGATCTATAGCAAATATATATGTACATGGCTCTGCACAGAGAATCTCCAAGGTCTTTGTAATTCTTGGACGACATACATGTTGACATAGCCTTATTGCCACTCTGATCAAATGATGTCCTTGCACAACACGTTTACTCATAGACTGCCTTTACAGCTGGTGCATGCCATTCAGAGAGCATAGAACTGTCCAAGGGCAGTCTCAGTTCTTCCCTTCCTTTGCCGTAGAAAAACCTACATTTGGGTGATAGGATCTACCAACATCTGTGCAGCCATTATATGCTGAACCTCATCTATAAATGCAATTTCTTTGCCTTTGTTTATGGGAGTTTACATGAACCTATGAGAGTTTACGTTACACGAAACTTTTACTTATGTTCTGGGAAACTCATAAGCCACTTTGCTGCTGATAGTCCACTTGGTAACAAATCTTCCTGTGCAATTTGTCTTCCAGAGCTGACAGAACCCCATAAGAAAAGGAAACGGACTGGGCTCCACAAGGTATGTATTTATCTCATGCTGTTATACATATGCACAAGATGTGGAATGGCGAGAAAGGGAAAGGTATGTCAGTGAAGAATACTTCCAGTGGCTATTGCCAGCTGTAAGGGTCAGTTAAAATTACACCTGCCTGTAATTAACTACCAATTTCCACACATTTCCAAGGTCTGTAGTGTACTGACCAACATAGTTTGGAAGCATATAGAGATTTTCCGGGAAAAGTAACTTTGATTTTTAAATTGTTCTCTGTCTTTTGTTTACTTTAAAACTGAATTGATACTTTTAGGTAAATAAGGAAACAGAAGCAAAGAGATCAGGAAGATTTACAGGAACCAAGTGAACACAAGAGGATCAACCTCCAAACAGTTACTAATGTCTATTTACATAAAAACCTTCATAAAATTCATAAAAACCTTCATAAAATTCATAAAAACCTTCATAAAGCTGTAGCAATTTTCATGCTTAAGTGAAGACTGAGGGCATACTGAACAGCAAAACAGTGGTAGCTGCACTAATGAAGCCACTTGTAAACAGGGTGAAAAACCCTAAAAGCATGATTGTGTTTACAGTGAGTTTTAGCACGCTCTGGAGGTGTCTGGCTCCAGCAGAACTCTGAACTTTGGTTCTGTCCTTTCTATCCTGCTCTGTTAATTGAATAGGAAGATGACCTAGGTGTGATTTTTCACTCTCGGCAGTTGTTCTGCCCTGAGCTGGATAGAAATTGTTTTTACTTACAGTGCATTTTGCCAGTGATGGTGAAAAAAACATTTGTTCTTATTTAGCTGTTTCTGTAGTTAGGTGATGGGAAGGGAAACAATCCTTGGAAGTTGTTAGTCCCAGCTATTACTCAAAGTTATCGAATGAAGGACATTGAAGGATGGTGGTCATTGTCACTATTTTTAATCTTAAGAATGGAAAACAGGAAGATTTCAGATTATGGGTATTGGCAAGGAGAGACTCCTGATTCATCTGCAGGAGGCCTCCCAGGCTGGTAAAAATTCTGCTTTTGAAATGTAAAAGAAAAAGAATGGCTTCATCTGTAGCAACATAATGTTCTTGCTTAAACTGAGTTGAAATAAATCCATTATTTAATGGTGCAGAATTGGAACAAATTCTGATTGAAGTTTTTATTACATCAAATAACTTCCTCAAATTAAGAGTGGGTACAGATATTCTTGGATTTATTCCATCAAATAAATTATTTTTCCCCTATCAACTAAAATGAGGGGGATGCTAGTTCTGTTGGGTAAAATTCAAATACATTGAGTTTGCGATGAGTAAATGATTTTTTTTCTGAGATGAATTCTGTTTTGTCTGACTGAATTAAGACTTACTTTGCTTTGTTTATAATGTCTGATACCCTAAGAGTTGATAGATTCAGAAGTTTTTATCTGCATTGATCAATGAGATTGTTTATTTGGCAAGAGGTGGAATTGTAATTCTGAGAGGCTTTAGCCAGCAAAAGAATATGAGTATATATATGTATATTTTCATGCACGTGAGAGAGTTTGATTCCCCGAGTATATTGAGACTAGATATAGTGTCAAGTGAAGGTATGTAATGTGAAAGAAAATATATTTAATGGAAGATCTCTATAAGTGGACAGATCAGACAGATGTTTTCATTAGACCTCCTTGAACAGAATTTGAAAGATCAAGGTGGGATTGTTTGGTTGACTGGATCCAGGGAGGCCTTTTTCAAGTACAGGTGCTCAAGTATGGCATGGCAGGCCCTGAAGAAGCTGAAAGCTGAATTAAAACCAAAGCTGTTATTGATATATTTAGTGTTAAAATAGACTGGAACCTGGGGAAACTGTCTTTGCCTAAGTGGGTGATAGGAGAAAGTGTTCTCCTTTGCTTTTTTCAGATCATCCCCTATGTTGCTTGTATCATTGGTCTCCCATTTTCCTGCAGCACAATGAGCATAATGAAAACAGATCAGGTCCTCATTTTCACCTGCTCAGAGATGTGGGAAAAAGCAGACAGGTAATAAAATAGAAAGGGTAGTAAATTTAGACTCAGTAAAAGAAAATACTTTTTTTACCTTATGTATAGTTGTTGTCTTATGGAAAACAGAGCCTTAGGAGGTCAGCCAGACAAATCTTTTAGATGCATTTGGTAATATTAGGATCATGAATAATTTTTGCAGCTGTGCAAGCTGAGAGAACGACTCAAGCTTCAAGCTTCATTTCATAAGGGAAATGCCTGTGGAGGGTGAGCAGGCATTTTCTTATGCGTATACAGCATTTCCAAATAGTATTAAGTTTATTATAGGTTATTTATCTTCCTTTGAAGAATCAGTTATTGTGAAGTCCAGGGGCCAAAAGGAGTAAATGACCTGAGCAAGTGTGGCATCTCTGTCTAGCTGTCTGTCAAAAGATGAGCTGTTTTTCTTGACCACAGCTTGCAAGAATCTGCTAGAAGGGAGGACTCCCCACATTGTATCCGACTTAGATGCTTCCTGAACGTGACAGATCTACAATGGCAGAAGCACTGGATATGCATTCAGATCAAGTCTTCTTCCTTCCCCTTCTCCCCCTGACCCTTCCTCGTTCCCCCCCTCATGTTGCCAGTTGTGCTTATATGGCCACAAGACGTGACAGATCAGAGGGTGGATCCTTGGGGGTGAGGAGACCCAGAAACCAAACCAAAATCAATAGTGAAAACCCTGCCCGCCTGTAATCCCCCAGAAAACACTGGTGCATTTTACGGGACAGCTATGCTAATGCTGTAACTAACTGCTTGTTGAAGGCATTTTCCGCTCCTCTTTCCTCCTTCCTTGCAATGGCTCAGGCGCTCACCTAACCAGAGTGCAGTTTTGGTAGATAAAGTGGAAAAGAATATCATTAGAATAATTTAGCTATGCCACAAAACTGCACCCTGCAGAGGCATTTGAGGTTGGCTCCTCCATTCCCTCACCTAATTGTCAAATACTTTAAGATATGTAAAGTGATGTAAGGTACACAGCAGTATATTAGTTTAGGGCCTTTACACTTGTTCAGAGATGCTGGATAGTTGTGTTAAATGTGGGGGAAAATGGTAAAAGAATAAACAGGTAGAATGAAGAAGGAATAAATTAAAAAGTTTGTTACCCACTCATCCAGTCTGATGGTCTGTTTCTTACATCAGCTCAGACACTTTTGCACCTACCTCCCAATACATAACATTGTGTTACCTAAATACCTCCAGTTTAGTTCTGAATGTACCTATTCATTTTCAAGAAATGAGGCGTTATGATTATTCTACAAATATTGTTCCTTTTGTTATGTACCAGAATAGCCATTTCTACATGTTTTAGCTCACTCATTGTGAGCTTATTATCAAGTGAATTTCTGAGATCCTTCATAATCTGTTATATTCTTCTGCATTTTGACTTGGATTCTCCTGTTTTTTTTTTACCATAACTTTGCTTAGCACCGTCCTCTTGGTGCCTCTTCTTGTGATGTGCGTTGGTTCACTATGATTTAATTTGAATTTGAGCTATTTTTAATCTTCCTTAAAGTAGCTTCTCAATTAAGCCCAACAAAGGTCAAAACATCTTCTAGAATTTGGATCCTTAATCACATCCAAGCAACTTAAACAAATTTAAGCATTTCCTGTGACAGTATTTATTCTCTCTAGTACAATATTGCAATCACTAATGAGATGCAATTAATAAAGAGGCTTTCTCATAAAGAAATGGCCTTGCAGTTTATTGCTACTTTTTTTTTCCTCAATGGGACATCATGACTGACAACTCAATGTCGTCTTACAAATGTCAATAAGATAGGATGATCTGTGTGTGCTGCCTGTACATCCGGATTACATACTCTGTTCAGAGCTACAATGCTCTCTTTGGAAACTCCATAAACACTGGTGATGTAATTTGGCATGTGGAGAAGTCTAGTGAGAATAACACTAAACTATATCTTAAAGCTCCTTATTTCTCATTGCCTGCAAGACTGGATTCATGTACTCTCTCAGAATCCTCTGCTATCTTTATTTCTCTGAGAAGGTAAGCTTAACAAAGATTATGAGGTGAAAAGAATATCTAATCTCATATATACTTGCCGGAGTTAAAGCTTTTGTTGCCATCTGCACTGTTTGTAAACCAGCAAATGTAAGTACTTCATCGCAATGTGTGCTGATTGTGATACTATGCATTCCCCCTGATGCAGCCTGGATTACTGCACTTTATTCATCATAGTACTGCATAGCTTTTGTGGCAAAGCTTATATGTAGGTGGAATCTGAAAGATGCTACATTACGTTAATCAGTCCTGAAGCAGTCTATGTGCTGTGAAAATCAGAGCTTTAAGCGAAGTATCAGGCACATAAATGCAGAGCAGAACCTCTATAGTTGTTATCTCCTAATACTGCCTATGGAAGAGAAATTATAGGGATTCATTTCAGAAGTCCTGGAAACAGGGAAAATGTAAAGAGGGAGAAATGCTTAGAATATGTTTGCTTATTTATTTTTAAACGAAGGGAGCCATTCTCTGTATGGAAGAAACAACTCTATCTGCCACAGTTAATACTTATCCTGTTACCCACTGTGCCAGCTGGTAGTTCCCAGCAGTCCAGAATCAATGCACTGCGTCTCTCCAATAATATCACACCAGCTGCTCCAAAGGGTGGAGAGCATGATATATTACCCAAGAAATGGTGTGTAGGTGTACAGAAAAAATTGAACACAAGACCCCCCTGAGAAATACTGAAATTCTCGTGATGGCAGCTATCCTGCTTTTGTAAAGAAAACAAAACCAGAAACTTTCATACCAGCAGATTAAAATAAGTGATAAAGGGCTTGGCTTGTTGGTGTGTATTACTAGATACTGTCCACATTTTCTTTCTCTACCTTGGGGTCTTCATAGTCTGAACTATCAGCATTGTTTTGTAATACTGTGTTGTTGTAGCAGTGTTTGTGCTGTTGTAGCGGTGATGGTAGAAAGGCTAGCATGCCCAAAATTTTAGTTGTTTTTTTTTTCTCTCCTTCAAGTTAGCATTGCAAAAGATATATTTG